CTGAGATTTTTAAAGATTGAAATTAACTTAATAAATTTGCCGCTAAGTTGTTAAAATTTAGTCTTTTTGGTATGTTGTATCAATGAGAAATTTGTTGCTAAAACATGTTAACTGTAACAATTTCATCGCCAAAAGTCGATTTTCTAGTAGTGTATCGAATTGAAATGATTTTATCTAAGACTGATATTCGATCCTTAAAAAATCATCAAATTAATATTACGGTCTAGAGTGTATGGAATTGAAATGATATTATCTAAGTCTGATATTCGGTCCTAAAAAAATCATAAAATTAATATTAGGGTCATATATAATATAAAATTAGTGATATTGGAGACTAAATGGAAATACTAGTAGAAAATGATTTTTTGTTTTTGGTAGTACTGTGTTAGGTGCCCTTTAAAGTTGAATGATATTGTTGGTATTCTCTATGGGAAATTGTTTTGGTTTGGAATTTCAGGTGTAAAAGGAATATAAGAAAAATGAGACAGTTTTACTGCAAAAGGGCAATATGGACTTTTAATTTTTTTGGGGGTTCTGATGTAAAAATTGGTACATACCCTATTAACGATTTATGTCCCCTTCTAGAGGGTATTTTGGTCGATTTAAAGGAGCCCTGATCTGATGCAACTTTAACCATTTGTTTTGTAAAGGTGTCATTTAAAGTTGAATGCTATTGTTGGTATTTTCTATAGGAAACTAATTTGGTTCGGAGTTTTATGTGTAAAAGGAATATAAGAAAACTAGAAGGAATATAAGAAAACTGGGATAGTTTTACTACAAAAAGGCAATATAGTATTTTACTTTTTTTTTGGGGTTTTGATGCAAAAATTGGTACAAACCTAGTTCTAGATGGTATTTTTTTCAACTTAAAGGAGTCATTCAGATGCAACTTTAACCATTTGTTTTGTACATGTTGACATCACTCCAACTGTTATATGACCGAAATAGATCCCAAAAGTGAAACTGATATATGACCAAAACTCATTTGATGTAGGAAATTCCAATAGTCTTCAAACGAAAAAATGACATTTTTTTTGGCAAAAACTGTCCCAAAGTCTAATAATATTTTATGAAGTTTGGGTGGGACTCAATGGCTCTATATAAGTCAAATTGTTGACTAGTCAACAAAGGATATTTTGGTGTTATTTATTAATGTTAACCCGGTTCTTAAATATAGGTCCAAATTAATAGAAAATTACAACCTATTACATTTAGACACTAACCTCCTTCAAATTCATTTCTTGTGCCTATCATTTCAAAAAATAGTTTTTAGTTGTTGAATAGTATTATGAAGATATGGTTATGGTTGAGGATTTAGGTGACATGGTAGAAGTGTTTATGATGGTCTCCCTTTCTTTTGTATCCTATTCCTTTTGTTTTATAAAAATTGGCAGAGGGTCTCCCTCATTCCAAAAATAAAAATAAATAATGAAGCACAAAATATATTAATAAGTCACCAGTAAATACTTACAACATATTTTCGTTTTATAAAGACTATTATTTAACTTTAGACATACACTAGTATAAAAGAATGGTCATTATATAATCATAGTCACACATTCAATGAACATTCTATAATTATACTAATCAGACATTATTTTACTTCTATAACTAGATTTAGCTATAGACACACGTAATAATTGTAACCATAACCAAATGGTACTTACATTCCGAATATATGTTCTTCTTCAAAGCTAATTCATCATATTTTGACACATAATAAAAGACACATGACCATAAACTAATAAAAGTAACGTGATTTTTTGTTTTTACTAAGTCACTAATAAACACCACCCTATGGACACAAAAATATTTAATGTGGTTATATGTGTCACCTGTTAGCTACATTGGATTTCATGTGTCTAAACTCGTACCATGATATAGAAACATATACAACTGCCTCATGTGACCATATATTTATCCGTCGTTTCCTATAAAAAGAATATCACAACGTTAGTCAGTACACGTGGCTGATGGTGACATATGGCCACATTATTCGACTGTGACTAATAATTGTCACATTTGTTAAAATTAAATTTGGTTAATGATTTGATTATCTATACAATGGCCACACAAACTAATTTAAATGTATCTAAAAACAGTATCTAAATTTATTTAGTGATCACATTTTTCGAAAACTGTAACCGTATGTCATTTTTGTACTAGTGCAAAGACTTATCGTCATACCGTGGTGAGGCTTTACCACGCCGTGGCCAAAAAGGAATCATGCACAGTTTGAAAATTAGAAATACCTTATCATCGGGATGTTATACTGATCGAATAGGAAACTCCCTTATAGAGTACGGTTGGAAAACCATATTCTATGTTTCATTTCAACAGTATAATAATTTGTCATTTTGTAGTAGTGCTACATGGAACATGATAACAACAAGCAAAGTGGACATTTTAGTTTGGAGGAAGAAATTGGAAAGATTGCCACAAGTTGTACATAATAGGTATTGCGATTAATTCTAAATTATGTTCCATATGTAACAGCAAAACTGAGACTGAATTGCACTTGTTCGCCAAGTGCTCCACCGTTAAAGAGGTGCATGATATTCTCAACATGTTGTGGGATGTGATTCCCATGAATTTCAGCTCTACTCAGTCGTTATCCCAGCTTCATAATCCAATGAGTTGGTCACAAAAGGTCTATAAAAAGAGTAGGTGTGGTGCTCGTGGCTGTCATTTGGGTTATTTAAAATACGGAAATGATTATTTCATGGCATTGTTAGGTAGCTATTTAGATCGTAAGAACTGGTGTAATAGCTCATTGCGGGAATGTTTAAAATGGTTGTAACTCTAGCCGCCCGCTATCCTTTCTTATAAAAAGTTCTAATAAAATGGTAGATTTTTGTAAGTGTATATATATGTTGTAGTAATGCCCTGTTTATGTATATGTTGTTTTGTTTGTAATGGCATATAACGATATAAAGTTTAATGTCCTCTTTGTATTATAAAAGTACATTTGGATAAGTGTTGTTAAAAGAAAATTAATGGTGTAAATGTATACTAATGTGGGTGTTATATGGTGGCACTTTGGCCTCTAAACTCTTCAAGCACCAAAAGTATGAAATAGATATATATATTTGATTGCAAGGAGAATTTCCATACTTAAATATGAACAAGTTTGATAATATCCTTTATGTTTTCTTTCATTTAGAAGAGCTCACACTACACAGTAATTCAAACATAATACCTTTAGCTTATAATTGAGCTGGGGTTTCTTGTTTTGTTTGTATCATAGAAGGCTAGAAAACTGACCTTTCAAGAGCCAAAGAGATGGAGTTGTGGGTTACCAGAGAACATGCACTCTCAAAGACACTTTGTCATGAAACGGTGGAGATGGAAAATTGAGTGGTAAAAGAAAAGGATAACAAAGCAAATGCTTCCTATTGGGCGGACACATTATTGTACAATCCAACAATCTGGGTTAAATTTAACAGTAGATAGTACCTTTACCCTACCATTTCATCTACCCCAGAAACCCTAGTTATCTGTCCGCATACCTGGTCAGGTATTCTCATTTATTCTCCAAATGCAAGTCATTTTCTTTCCATCTTGGCACTGCTCTGACTTGTACCTTTCACCCAAAAAGATGTAGCCCTCTTGTCTAATATCATCAAAGTGGTTGAACCTTTAGGAAAACAAAATTAAAAATCATATATGAATTTGAATAACATATATTCTACGTTTTTTTATTTCATAATAATATTATATATCTACCCTCTTCCACTTTTCCCTACATTGTTTTATTAAATTAATGCATGTCCCCAGTGCTTTATATCTATTCATGTCTTCCATCGTCACAAGTTGTACGTTCCCGCACCATTGCTCGGATTTTCCAAGTGGGGAAAATATAAAATAGAATTAATGGGTAAGATATGCATCTTTAATCTTTTGATAAAAGTAAACATCTAATCGATTACAAGTGATATAGAGACATAATATTGTGGGTAAATGATTCAGCTTGCATTATTTATTTAATATTCATATATATACTTGGTTGATTTTTGGGTAGCAATACGTCTGCTTAATTTAAGTTCAAGAATAGTAGAGACGCCTTGCATTTTTGTGACATAATCAACAATATGAAGAGTTATGTTGAATGAGTTCACAAACTATATATTTCAATAGATGAAACTATATCATTGTGAGGTGATACATTGACATGTAATGAACTTAATGGCAATTCAACTTTTTAAAAAGAAAAAGATAAAAAATTTATAATTCTTAAATAAATATTTAAATATATGTTTTACTGAAGTTTATAGATTTCAAATAACTGGAACAACAAAAAACTAATAGAATTGTATGGAGTATATTAATAATGATTTCATTTTTATTAAATTTTATAAAGTTAAAAGCATTGTGGATATTTTTAATATAATTCATGTGGACTTTAATTTAGCTATATATATATTTTAGAATAAGTAAGTTGTATATTCTTCACACACATTTTGTATGAAATTAAAGTATTATGTTATTTTGCAAATCATAGTTTAGTCCGCCACTCGTCACTATGCCTTGTGCTTTCATATATTCAAAATAAAAAGTTTCTCAAACAAAAGTGTAACTTAATTGACAGGTTTAAAGTTAAGGATGTATTCTGTTTGGAATCTTATATTAGCAAAGATTAAAGTCAAGTATATAGCAACTCTATCCACATCAATCTATATTATCCATTGTTCTTAAAAACAAAAAATAAAAAGGAGAGATGAGTCAAATTGGCCCGGTTATGTAGATGCAGCTTCTTCGAAATAACTTAGAATCTCATATTTTGGTAGTCTACAAAAATTTACAAATATATCCAGACCAGCTTCGAAGATTTCTGAGTTTCTCTCCCTGTAAAGATAATGTCCTCTCATCACCAATGGAAGCTCTTACTAAATCTTGCTTGCAACTCAGCAGATCTAGTCACCACCACTCGGACTTTCTTCACTTTTCAATCCATGAACATCAAAAGAAGAAGAAAAAAGATGTTTATGGCGTCTACAATACTATGGGACCTGATCAGCTGTGTTGTCCTGGTCGGTGGTGTTCGTTACGTGTTTCTCCTTCTCATCCATCATTTCCCCGTCTGAGATCGACGATTTGCTGTCTGACGATGCGTTGTCCCGAGAACTACAACTACCAAAGGAAGAGGCTCTGCTTGAAACTGGTGTTGCCAGAAATGTTGGTTTTGCTTGTCCTGCCATGATTACCAGATACTTCTCTTCCAAAACAGGGGGCTCCTTGTTGTTATTGTCGGGTTTCGAATCTCCAGCCTCAAGATCTCTCTCACTTTCGTCCCGGTTCTCCATGTCGCCGGAGATCTTCCAGTAGGAGCAGGCGAGGATTAAGAGAGCAAAAGCAATGAGACCCAGCATGGCAGCAAGGCCTCCGAAGAGATAAGGCACCGGTGAGTGCCATGGTGACCGCTGAAAATGCACCTGAGACGACGGAGCTATTGAAGAGGGTGCTTGTGTAGTCATCTTTAATTGAATGTAATTAGAGAGAAATTTGAAGATCTTTGAGATTTTTAATGAGGATGAATGGATTAAAAGGCTTCTTAGCTCAGATTGTATTTATAGATGAAAAGTTGATAGCCTTTGCTTTTTCCTTGTAAATACACAATTATATATGAGGCCATGTTGGGAGCCCACTGCAGCATGGTAGCGTGAGACGTGGGTACTCGATAACAGTTTAACCTAGTTATGTAAAGGATCATCACTAAAGTAACCAAAACAAGTACTATCATGTAATTAACACTTCTTAAATAGTCATGCACAGTAAATATTTATTTTCCTAAATATACTTTGCGAGATTACTAAAATTCACAGATTTTTTTTTTTTTTTTTTATCTCACAAGATAGTTTAGAAATAATCTAATACGGTATAACACTAGCAAATTAGGATTTAGTTTTTAATGAAAAGTTTACTTTTTATACATTGACATTTACCTTATATACATTAAGATTTACCAAATGATTATTACCGTTTCTAAAAGCATATCAGTTACAATATATTTCTTTTTGGTTCATAGAGTCACTACTAGAAACAAGGGTTACAGAGACGGGCCAATTCGTCGCTATTCTGTTGCTAATGGTTGTTTGCGACAGATCAGCGACACATAAACTCCATAGCTAATTTAATCCTGGCTAATGTGTCAGTGAGGGATTTTGCGACAGACTAGTTTTCCTAACGACGATTTAGTGACAGATTATCCATCGCAAATAATCACTTACTACACTTATTTAGGACATCGGCGACAAAATATAATAACAATATTCCGTCGCTGATCCGTCTCAAATTTCCGTATTTGTTTTTTTGTAGTTCGTTGCTGATCTGTCGCAAATGAATGATGCCAGATTTTTGTCGTCCGTCACTAATCTGTCGCAAAATTTATGATATCAGATTTTTGTAGTTTGTCGCTAATCCCTTGCAAATGTGTGATACCAATTTTTTTTTAGTCCATCACTGATCCCTCGCAAATTTAGTAACATAATCACAATTTTTTGTTTTTTTATTACCAATCTAAAATAAAAATACCAAAAAACATCAAATATATTATACATTGCCAAAACAAACATTAACATTTAACTATCCAAATCATTAATAACTATACTCTTAAAGTAATCATTTTCTTTAAAATATCAAAAGCATCAACTATGAAAGTTTACCAAAACATCCTAAAACATCAAATATCAAAGTTTATCATTAACCGATATTTGTTTTCAAAGTACCATAATTCTTAATTTCCTTTTATATTTTGCATTGCTGCAACTTTTACATCAATTTTCACAATCTAAAGAGCTTCGTCGGTGAAGAACCATTACAGGTGTCCTCTGCAAAACTTTCTGCAACACCCAAGGAATTTACGGTTTAAAAATACAAGCAATAGCAACATACTTACATTTATTTTTTTTAATTGTTATAGTACCTTAGTATTTTATCTTCATTTTACAATGTTGTATTTTGAAAAAATACATATAACTACAGGTATGTTACTAAAATACAAAACATGTTTCAATTATATAATTAGCTCAATTATTAAAAGTATAATGTGATAATAATAGATATTTTCAAGGGCCCACATATAACTTACCAAGTCCTTGAGCGATGTCACAGCTTCCACATCATCATCACTAATAGGGCCAGATATCCACACCAAAGCAACATATTGTTTAGGGCTAAATACAAGAAATACCAATCTACTTTCATTTATTTGTTTATTATATTATAGCATCATACTTTCAAATTTTCATTTATTTGAATATGAAAGTATTTATACATTTAAACTGAAGTATCAATTACCTATTTTTCTACTTCTCCTTCACGCATTAAGCTCCATCCTTAACTCCTTACAACCTTGAGATGTCTTACTCTAACCTAGGTACACAATGTATTCAGTATAGATCCAATTTTTTAATGTTAGTCTATGAAAAACACACAAATGCCCTCCCCAATCATTTCATACAAAACAACCCTAAAAAATTTGTCCATTGTGACAGACACAACCTATTAAATCCAAATTAAGGCTAACTCACCAGGTTACTTTCCCAACTATTTATATTGTTTTCCATTTCCTTGATGGATACTTCAGAAGGGACAAAACGGGTATTTTTTATCTCACCTGAAAAGTACATAACTTTCTTGATCAGATAACCTTTTAGTGGAAAAAAAAGTCTAAAAAATATACATTGAGTAAAGAATGTATACATATATCTATATCCTCTCTCCTAGTAGCATGAAACTTGTAGCTATCACCCTTACACAGGAAGAATGTTCCCACCAATAAGCTCCTAAAAAGTTAGCCAATCTTTTTAACATTTTAAAAAAATTAAAAATGACATGTTTTGCAAAATGAAAATTAAGCGAATATTACCTCAACAGATGCCTCCCCCTTCTTTCTTCATCAATTATCCAACAGGTTTGACTCACGTTTCATGAGAACTAATAAGAAAAAGGAGCAGACTTGTTAGTAATATTAAGTATGTATATCATTAAATTAACTAAATAAACAACATTCACATGTAATCCAACACTTACTGTAAATTAAAGGTCTTAGTAGCTTCCAGAATAATGTAAGAGTGTTCTCTATGCAGTAACCCGTGATATAGTGCAAGTTCATATAAAAAAGCATTTGGATATTTCTCAATATGAAAAAGAAAAGATGAAAATGACAAATTTGTAATGGAGATAAGATACCTTGTCAGGGTTATTTTTTGGTAACTACAACACCAACTGCTCCACCAAAGACAACTATTTGAGAAGTGTCAATGTCTGTCCTCTTACTGAGATGATCTAGAGCAGCCTAGTTGAAATGTATGTGATTGAGTTTTAATAAATTAAATAATAAAAAGAAAAAAGAAAAAGAAAATCATTTTAACGGATTATGTCTAGAATGAAACCTGAGCATCCCTAATGATTCCTTGTTGAGAAGGATAACCATCACTAGCACCATATCTATTTATTGCAACAAGATATAGATTAGAATTAATTGCATATAGAATTGACTCCAATCTCTACAAGTCATTATCCATCTTTTTGTTTAAACGGCTTCCTTTAGTTTTATGGTTAATTATTATCTAACACCATATTCAATTAATTTTGGATCCAAAACATGAAACTTACTTGACCTAAAACATAACTATTATCCCCGTGGATGAGATCCCTTTCTCAATACTCTACAGTTTAGTGTTCAAGTTGAACTTATAGGAACGAAATGAACTCTCATATGAATCATTTAGGTAAGTTAAAAATTAAATTACCTTCAAATATCGACCGCCAATTAAGTTAAGAGCCTTAGAACAAACCAGTGTCATGTGACAAGGTTGATCAACCTAAGAGAAAAGAGAATAAGATAAGATAATGTTTTCAAGTTGCCTCTCAAGTTTATGAATATACTATCTAAAAAAGATATGACATTGTATTTTTAACTTAGTTAATTAAATTTATACCTTATCTTCTAATCCAGTAACATCAGAAACCAATAGCTTGGAACGTTTATCAATTACACTACATTCTAACTGATGGTTTCCATACCCTGCACTCATAGCCTCAAGTCCCAAGTCCCAACTAATCACATAAATAAATAACAAATATTTCAAAATTCAATCACCAAGTTAATGTATATTGCATCTTTTTATATAAGATACTAACCAGTTGAGCCTTAATTTCTTCCTACAATCTCACCATATCCAACGTTAACTAGTTCACAATGCCTCCCTGCAAAAGAAACAAAAAAGATTTACAATAATTAAATTTTTCTTTATCTAAATGATTATCTTAGAAAATCAAAAACCTGTTGGTTATAAATGTCAGTAAGCTCTCAAAGGCTAAAGACTCTGCAAGAACCCTAAGGCCTCAAGAGCTCGTTGCAAAGACAACTTTTATTGTGTCTGATCTTTAATATGTTGTTCCAAAGCAGCAAAATCTTCATTTTGTTTTGTAGAATTAAAATTGTTGTTCCTTTCCATAAAGAAGTCACCAACAACATTAACAATAGAAGAAGGGTTAGGGTTGATGAAACCTTGAGTAACAGGAGAGAGCATCAGCAACGTATTCATTCTGTTATTGCCTAAATACTGTTTGATTTTACTATGAGCATTATTTCCAGTTTCATTTTTAGTATAACTACAAAAATGACCTCCTGATGATGGATTTTTGATGACCATAACCTGAAAAGACTACTATATAAGTGGATAGAAACATGTGACAATACATACCCGTTACATCTTTCTATCTTGCATTTGCAACCATGCAACAAAGACTTTGTATATATTTTATCTATTGGTTTGAAGTATGTAGAGTATGCTCTGCTAAAAAATGCTGCGCACTTGGTTGCTAAAGAGCCACATTCAACTTTTTTTTTCAGCAACTATGTTCAACAAACAGTAAATTGCTACTTGTTTTCTTTTACGTACTATTTACTTCATCAATTGTAACATCAATTTGCAGCTAGTACTATCATCAAACACATAACATTGGCCTAAAATTATGCATATCATCAATAAGGTTCAAAATTACCTCTTAATTTAACCAATTTTGTCTGAAGAAGATCTTGGATGGGATAACCACCACAGTTTTTAAGCAACCAATAGATCGAACTATAACAATCCGACATGCGGCTACTGTTCATGCGAGGGAAGGCGACACGTCTCGTCAGCTGGGCTCGGGTGATTCAGCAATTCGGACACGTGGCGCGCTACGAGCGAAGGTGACGTGGCATTTCCGGGTGAAGCTCATCTATGCGAAATTTCTCGAATTTTGTGCCAAAATCTTCTAAAATTCATAACTTTCGCATACGAGCTCCGTTTTTGACGTTCTTTATATGCACGCGTAGGTAAAATTACGCTCTACAACTTTCGTTTAGACTTCGTCGGCTAATTTTGAATTTACTTTTTATATTATTATTTTTAACAAACCGGGACAGGAAATACGTTAAAAATTCATAACTTCTTCATCCGACGTCCGTTTTCGTCAGACTTTT